GTTGCGGTAGCCAAATTTTAAAATGAAATTTTTAACAAAAAAAAAGACGAATGAAAAGAAGGCAAACGCCTATGGAGCCCAGAGCATTTGAATTTTTCCAGGATTGTTTCAAACCCAATGCACACAGTGAATGATGACAAAGATAAAAAATATTGGCATTCTTACGAGATCGTGCATGTTTGTACGTGTAGATGTATGTAAAGATGCATGCGTGTGCCTGTGTGTTCGTGTGTTTGTCTGTGCATCTATGTGTATGTATATATGTGTGTATATGCATGTATGTATGTGTGCATGTATATATAAATGTGTGTATACGAAAACGAACAATGAAACATACCATGGCGAGTTTGCGTAATAAAATCTGGATGGGGAAACGAAAATATTGCCCTAATTTTTGGGATGCAATTTCGGAAACGGAGTGAGCAAAAAAAAAACTTCTGAATCCATCATTATCCAATATCGCTACGCATCTAAGATACCGTAAACAAGGAACCGTTGAAAACAGTGCGGAAAATGAAGAGAAATGATGGAGAAATTGGGTTTTTCGACCTTTTTTTAACACGAAAAATGTATCTTTGTAATTTTACCAAACAAAGATTTCACCATATTTTTTTGCGTGTTGTTCGAAAAGGGTAATTTTTTTTTGTAGTGACCTCTGTAATTCATTTAAGACATTTGTACCGACTGTACTGAAGGAAGGGTGAAGATGGAAGAACATCCGAAAGACGGCAGGCAAGGGGAGGGAAGGGCGTTGTGAGGTCAGAGAGATTTGCCGGAAAATTAGAACCTCCCTAATTTTTCCTAAAAAAATGACTCATTCGATTTCGCTGAAATTTGTTACAAAGTACTGGGAACCAATGCGATTATCCATCCCACTCCTGAAAATGGTCACTCCAAAATTACCCTTCCCGGATGACAAATTGTGGATCCTATTTTTCTTGGGAAAATCTAAACAGGAGAAAAAATTTCTCACCGAAGTGACTGTAAGGAAAATTAAACATCCTCGCTTTCTCGTGCACTTCATTCCTCACTGAGGGGAGAAGAGGGAGCAGGGAGGAACAGATCTCGAAATTCAGGAAGGATCACGAAAAACTAAAACGGCTTACGAAAAGTCAGGAAGGATCACGATTTTATTTATCGGATATCAATTTAATTGGTGCAATCAAAATTTTCAATATCTTTTGCTAACTTATGCAAATAATTTTGTAAAGCAACTGTAGTTCGAAAGATGCAGAAAAAATTCTCTGAACTGATGTTCGACCAACGCCGCATGTAAGTGGCGTTGTGAGGTATTACACTGCGTCACTTAACGTAGTTAAATGTAACGTAATTTTTGAATGATCCTTCGCGAGGTCAAATAATTTAAAAAAAGTTTTAGAAAACTAACAACCACTAATTTTGATCAAATTTATAATTTTCTAGAGTATTCTAAAAAATAAAATGCAGAGAAAATAAATA